AGTGTAAAACTTGTAGAGCTTGATTTGTAACCATCAGAGTTCCTTCCTTGTGATGAAAATAGTGTGCACTAAATGACTAACAGAGGGAACCACTCAGAGAACTGCTTATATTAGAAGTATAGACCCTCAGCAAGACCACAGTAATCAATTACCCTAAACTGAAGCCCTGGCAGCTACTATGAATTGCTATTGATTTCATCTACTGGTCAGTGTATCTTTCTAGGGCTAGGCTGGAATGTAGCTATGAGATGTAGGCAAAATTAGGAGCTGGAAAAAACCTCGCTGGAAAACACAGACAGCCCCCGGCTTTGGGGAATGTATGCTATGCTGGAGTTTGTTTTTTTGAAAGTACTTAAAAACCCAAGTCCCACACAGGGGTAAAAATGACGTGTGAGATCAGCATACATTGAAATGAAAAAGGTGAGAATTTGTTGGGTTTTTTTGTAAAGTTACTATGGAAAATGATATCTGGCTTTCTAAAGAAAGCCTCTTTCCTCCATTGCAGTTGAAGAAAGGGAGGGCAATTTTTTTCTATACTCTTCATCTGACTATAAAAGTTATTTCTTTCTTGCAGTGGACCAATGTATATAAATGTTTCCAAAATAGTGCTATAAGATGCAGTCCCTTACATGCTGTAGCTTGTGAATTGCAGGTTTCTTTTCTACAAAATTCACTTTCTTGTAGAATTCCTTGAATGTTTCAGAAAGACGAAGCAGCTATTTCTTTATGCATGCTGTTTGCTTCAAAGGGAATTTAATCTGTTTTGAGAAGACTGCTATGTTTCTATTATCATGGAAGGAAACTTATTCTGGAACCTTTTTTGCTCAGCAGGAACTGTATGCGTTTTCCACACTCTCATTATAAACGTTCTGGCATGAGCATAAAGCAGGCAGTGTTCATTTATATTCTAGCTGATCAAGAGGAGAAGTCTGATTAATGTGAATTTTGGATCAAGGTGAGGGTCATCTTTGTAACCTTCACTAAAAGGGACTTTATGGAGTGACTTCTCCCAGAGGGGTATGTTTCTGTTAGATCAGTGGCCCAGAGGCAGTGGAACAAATCTTCCTCCTGTCATCCTCATTTTACTATCAGCTGCACAACAGCAGCACAAAATACTTCGTTAGAACTAAATACACTGCATAACTGAATCTTGTACTCGGATCTTATCTGTCACAGCGCGTATAATTGCAGGTTGTTAATCATGCCTTTCCTTATGCTCTTCCATCCTTCCTCTCCCACTGATTTGCTTCCCCTTCCTGAGATCTCTCCCTAAAGCCTCCTTTCTCCTCTTGGTCAGGTCCTGTCCTGCCTGCTCCCTCTGCTACATTAGTTCTCTGTTCTTGAACAATTTTGAGAAAGCAACATAGGTACTCTTAGTCAAACTAAGGGTTACATAGCCTCAGGGTACCTTTGTTGCCTTTCCCAGAATTAACTCCAGGTCTTCTATTCTAGTTATACTAACCCAATTGCAAGAACATCACCTATAACCATTGTGTTCTCCAAGCACACTAGACCTTTCATTTCCATTTTGCTGTGGAGATCATCTAGAAAATCTGTAGGCCTCTTGATATCTTTATCCCATTTTGCTGAGCCAAGCCTAGGTGGGAGATCTGGTATGTTAGATGGCAAACAGTTGGGTTAGGGGGGACAGACCTGTTCTATTTTTGCAAGCAAGAAGATATTTTCTGTTCCTTGCTTTAATGTCAATGAATTAAAAGACTGCCAGTGCATTCCAGCCTGTCACTGGCAAGGCGCCATTTCAGCCTTCCCATAGAGCAGGTACCTACCAGGGATTGAAAAGCCTCATTCTTCACAAGCATGTGTGGAAGTCAAAGGAGTCTGGAGATTTTTTCATTTTCTTAGAGGAAATTCCTACCGTTTGCAGGCACAGGAGCACCACATTTTGAGGACAACATGATTATATCCTAGTGAACTGCCAGTGGTGAGCTCTTTAGTCTTTCTTAGATAGCTTTGATCCTAGTTGTTCTGTCCACATTCTGAAACTGAACCGTATTACACATGGAACCACACGAGCCAGATGTGACTGGTATTTCAGATGCGAGTGAACTGGGGAAGAGGGACCATGCCCTGCTCAAGGCATCCCGCCCTTCGATAACGATTGCAAGGGTAGAGGATAGTGTAGGAGATGACTCTACAGATTTGTGCCGTTAGAACACTTTTCCCTTTAGCAATAGAATTTTCATTTAATCAGTTTCTGCCAGATTCCCTCTTCTTTGAGCTTTTTAAGTTCACCAAAGGGCCTGTTTCTGAAGCACACTGTCTGCTCCAATTTTTTTTAATATTTTCACACAATGTTATGCTTAAAAGGAAGGAAAAGACACAAAGGGAAGATGGAAAAATAGAAATGCAAAATGTCTCATGGGAGATGCTTGCCCTTACCATGTCATGCTAGTTTAAATACAGTTCCCACACATCACATGTCAAGCTGTACTTGATTGTTTTCAAATAGATGGCAAAAATCATGAGAGGAGGAAAATGTTCTTTTGTGTGACACGCTCTTCTTTTGATACATTGGGTTCTGTAGCTGTCAAAGCAAAGGCTGCTTTTCCATCTATTATTACAAATGCATTTGGGGTAAGTCTCTTCGGCAACTCTCTATTCCCTTGATTGTTTACTTCAATACAAATGTTATTGTTTTAATTTTTCTAAATCTAAGGAAATGAGGAATTGCCTGTGGTGCATTTTCCCTGTGATCCTCAGTAGGCAATGAGGTTCTTTCTCAGTGGAGATTCAGATCACATCTGGAACTGCAGTCTCTTTCAAGTACTTTCTGCTTTTCTGGCAGGAGAATGGAATATTTAATTTCATTATTTAGCATAGGGTTATTTATTTCATGCAATGAGGGGAAATTCATCAATATTGTCTTCAGCATCCAGAAAAATGGTACTTACCATGACTGTTTCACATACTCTATTTATATTTTATATCTTTCTCATCACTCAGCAATTATTCATCTCTGCTGAGAGGTGAAATTCTTGTATTGAGTTACTGTAATTTCTCTGAACTCCTGAAAGCAGTTCAGTCACTTGAAGGAGATTGCTTTTACTTAAAGTAGAACTGTCTTGAGACAGTTTCACCAAATACAAATAACTGGATAAAGGTTGTATTTTCCTGTTGATTTTCAAGAGTATTTAGCGATGCTTTATAAAAGGGGTAAGTCAGTGTTGCTACATCTTAACATTCACTCACTAATATTATTCATGATGGGCTCTTGGAGATGGATGCAAATGTGATAGTGCACGTAAGAGGGAGTGCAGTTGGAACGCAACATTAATTTATTCCCAGTTGTTATTAAATGTCACAAGGTATTAATAGTTTTGCTGATTTTTTTTTTTTAAACCACTTGGTATATGCAAAAGAATAAAATCAGTGTGATGTATTTGTCTATGCAAATGCATCAAGATAATTATCTCTGAATCTTCTGTATTATGTTTAATTATCAATGTAGTGTCCCAGATCTGCATTTGGGGGAAAGATCAAAGTATAGGATGACAGACTGTACCCTGTTCCCACAGAAATCAATCAAAGATCTTCCATTTGGGAAGTGGGCACAGTGGGAACAGAAACAGGCTTAATATCATGATACGTGATTTCTCTTGCCATCAGTAAAACAGATTTTCTCATTTATCTTACCCTCTGAGATGTTTAAATTTTGAATGTCAGATGATTTAAATTTTGTGTTTGGGGAATCCAGGCACTGAGACGATTTGTGTTTGGGGCACTGAACAGGGGCTCGGTAGATCTGGGTTTGTTCTGTCATGCATTTCCCATGTGATCTTATGCAAATCCTTTATTGCCTCTCGCACAGCCTCATCAGTAAAATAGGATAACGTTACTCTTCTCCTTGTTCGAAGGATTTGTTAACATTTGGATGGCTTATCTACAGTGCATTGCTGAGGGCCGTATGAAAATCTTCAATCTTATTTAAATGTACTGCTTCACATATATATCCTTTCACTTCATTCTTCTGCATCTTCTGCTTTCTTAGAGTCTCTCATGGGACTCTCTCATCTTTTCCTTATAAGAAATCTTCCACAGGCTGCCCTTCCCCTCCAAATATGTACTGATAGGGTTCTGTTTTTTAATCTTAAGGCAGGCAATATGTGTGAGTGGATATGTAAGTGTTGGATGGGCATTTTGTCTGCTACACTTGATGCAGATGATATTTGGTCATCCAACTAACAAGTTTGTGCTTAGGAAACTAGATTTTTGATGTATTTTCTTCTGGGCATTTTCACTTATATATTCAGGTGTACAATTCTCTGTCACAGAAATTCAGACTGATTTCAGTAGTGAGCATTCTTTCCATAAAAACCCAGGAATACCATTTCAGATACTTCTTTTGCAAGTATTCAAATAGCAGAAGCAATACTGTGCACATTTGTTTTAGAAAGGAAATTGTATCAGTATATGTGTGTGTTTCTGGTGGCTTCTGAATTTACCATATTTGCCTTTGCAAAAAAAAGTATACTTATTGTTTGAGGCTTTTAACTTAAGCTATGTGTATTTTTTAGCTCCAGGTGCATGATCATAGAAGCCAGTGAGCCTTTACTGGAGGGAGCAGATCTGAGCTGTACATTGTTCCCTACCCATCAGTATTACCTGGGATAGAGCAGTGATTTCAATAGCAGCTACAGGAGATATAGCTATCTGCTCTCTTAGTTTTAACGAAGGTGAGTTCCATATCCCCTGGAATACTGTTTCTTTGATGTCTTTGCACAGCATGGACAAATGTTGACGTAGTAATGGTATGTGCTGCAAAGCCATTGCTGAGTAGTGGCTCTTTGAGTTTGGTGTAAATGGGACAGGTATGGAAAATTAAAAACACCCTACTGCCAAAAAAAAAAAAGAGTGTATATTTATCTAAAAGTGTTAAATGTATGGACATTTACATGCTTCCTTCAAGAAGGCAGTAAGAGTCATTTACTAAGAGTGGTTTACCTGCAAACTGCATTTTCCTTAATAAAACTTCCATTCAGACATTGTAGATATAAAGCCAGCCAATATGGAGGACCTGACGGAAGTGATTACAGCCTCTGAGTTCCATCCCCATCACTGCAATCTCTTTGTCTACAGCAGCAGCAAAGGATCCCTGAGACTCTGTGACATGAGGGCATCGGCTCTCTGTGACAAACATTCCAAGCGTAAGTCCTTGCTTCATGTGTCCCAGGTGTCATTAAAGTCTTACTATTCACTGACAGCATGTAGCTGTTTGCATACCCCAGTGTATTAACTTCTCAGTTGCAGGCACAGTTGAAAACAGCAAAAGGAAGAAACTGCTGTTATCCATACAGATACCTATGAACTTGATAACAGTCATGTCTGTGACTGGTCTGCATGGTGGTTCTTATTGCAGGGATCAGCAAAGAACCCACAACACTCCATCAAAAGAGAAATGATTTCTAACAAATGAAATATGCATGGGGGAGGAGTATTTAAGTAGATGAGCATACTGTTTTGAATACAAAACTACTGTTCTGAATATGCATCAAGTAAATTTTGTCACTCAAACTGCCTTCAAAATATTGAAAACATTGTCAGGGTTTAAAAATGTCAGGGTCCTTTCTAAAAATTTAGCTCATCATTCCCTATATGTGACAGAGTCACCAATTCATGACAGTTCATGCCTGAGACCTACATAAGAACAAGGAAGCAAAAAGTTAAAATGTGAGGCTGCCTTTGTTCTCAAAGTAAAGGATGAAGAAAAAATGCATCTTGCTATCAGCTTTTTGTAGTCTAGGTGAGACAGAATATGGTTCTTCCTCGGCACTTTGCCTTCTGCAAGCAACCGATTTATTCCTGATCTTCTGAGAATGAAAATCATCAGACAATGGCATTTTGTGGTGTGGCTGGTTCCTATGAGGAGCTGAGAATCCAACGAATGAACTGTGGTTGCTCTGCTTGAGCTACCTTCAGGACTGGCACTTCCAGAACACTTCCATTGTATCTTCAGTTTCTTTTGCAATGTTGAAACATTGGGAAGGAAATTCAGGAGAAATTCTCTTTGTGCCAGAGGCACATAAGAGGTTTTATGTCATTTGATTCCTCCTTGAACCTTTTGAGGTAGGCGGTTCTTAGTAGTAGAGGCAGAAGGGAGGAAGAAAACATTTGAATATTTAAGTGAGACATAAGTGGTGCACAGATTTAGCACAGAAGGTGTTTTTTGAACTGAAGTAAATGTAGTGAAGAGCCTATGACTAGGCATTTTGGCTGCAAGAAGTGCACATGTTCCACCTCTTAGGATGTGGTCTCTAATTATAGAAAATAACCTTTAAGGACAATCTCCTAAGTTTTTGTTAGCTGTATCCCCTTGTACTTGTAGGGGAAATTCAAAGTGAAATGCAACCATGACACAGTCTGGTACATTGCTGTGAGGTTGTCCACTTAATTGTTTTGTTCCATAATACTTCCAATATTTTCCTTCTAATAAGGCCTCCATGCCCCTGTAATTCGGTGTCAAATGCCAATCATAACTTACTAAAATTATACAGTAACCCTGGATGAAGAAAAGACTTTTATCCAGAAGGGAGTGCAAGGTCTAATGGTCATTGATTAAACCCCATTTTCCAGACCTATGAGTTAGAAAATAGACATTTAATGTAGCATTGCTGCACTGAATTCAAGTGAAGCTCATGGGGAAGCTGAATGCGTGCAATACAAAATTGATACAGCAATAGTAGAACTTCCAGAGCATTAAAATAGGCCCATGTACTGCTGATTGGAGTGGTTTGATTATAGTACTCAGAGGCAAGCAAAACTAATTATATAAAGCCCATAGCCACCTAAAAATGACATATCACAGAATCACAGAATCCCAAGGGTTGGAAGGGACTTCAAGAGATCACCTGGTCCAACCCCCCTGCAAGAGCAGGATAACCTAGAGTACATCACACAGGAACTTGTCCAGGCGGGCTTTGAATATCTCCAATGTGGGAGACTCCTGGGCAACCTGTTCCAGTGCTTTGTCACTCTCACAGTAAAGAAGTTCTTCCTGATGTTAACGTGGAACCTTCTATGCTCCAGTTTACACCCATTGCCCCTTGTCCTATCGCTGGATATCACTGAAGAAAGCCTACCTCAATCATCCTGACACCCACCTGTTCCATATTTGTAAACACTGATGAGGTCACCCCTCAGTCTCCTCCAAGCTGAAGAGACCCAGCTCCTTCAGCCTCTCATATCATGAAAAACAGTCCACAAAATCAAATATTTTCTTAATTCTCTTTCTGTACCTTCTCTGTACATCTGATTTCTCTTTACAGTTGCTTTACACATGGTACATATGCATGATGAGTATCCTGCTCTCCTAGCTCAGCTCACCTTTCAACCTTTCTTCATCATTGACTTCACTTCTCAAGCAAAACAGCCATGACTATAGACACTGTAAACCCTCATGTTCTGCTATGCATCTCTACTTTTTTAATTCATTCAAATATCACTATGCTAGAATCATAGAATTAGAATCATAGAATACTTAGGGTTAGAAAGGACCTTAAGATCATCAAGTTCCAACCCCCCTGCCATGGGCAGGGACACCTCGCTCTAAACCATATCACCCAAGGCCTCATCCAACCTGGCCTTGAACACTGCCAGGGATGGAGCATTCAGAGCCTCCCTGGGCAACCTATTCCAGTGCCTCATCACCCTAACAGGAAAGAATTTCCTCCTTATAACCAATCTAAACTTCCCCTGTTTAGGTTTTAACCCATTACCCCTTGTCCTATCACTACAGTCCCTAATGAAGTGTCCCTCCCCAGCATCCCTATAGGCTCCCTTCAGATACTGGAAGGCTGCTCTGAGGTCTCCATGCAGCCTTCTCTTCTCCAGGCTGAACAGCCCCAACTTTCTCAGCCTATTTTCATATGGGAGGTGCTCCAGTCCCCTGATCATCCTCGTGGCCTCCTGTGGACTTGTTCCAACAGTTCCATGTCCTTTTTATATTGAGGACACCAGAACTGCACACAATACTCCAGGTGAGGTCTCACGAGAGCAGAGTAAAGGGGCAGGATCACCTCCTTCGACCCGCTGATCATGCTCCTTTTGATGCAGCCCAGGATACAGTTGGCTTTCTGGGCTGTGAGCACACACTGTTGGCTCATGTTCATTTTCTCATCGACCAGCAACCCCAAGTCCTTCTCTGCAGGGCTGCTCTGAATCGCTTCTCTGCCCAACCTATAGCTGTGCCTGGGATTGCTCCAATCCAGGTGTAGGACCTTGCACTTGGTAACGGTATCTGAGTTTCAGATACTGTTCTGAAATTGTAATGGATATACATATTTTTAGGGATAAAAGAGCCAATGTAAAACTTGTTAAAAATATGTGGATGCTAAGCATATGTTTTTGAACTTCTGGATTGATTCCTTTTTCAGCCCCTTTGTTATCCCTATCTCCCATAGCTGGGCTAAACGCAATTGCAGCTTTTGGGGAAAGGGCTATCTGTACAAGACTAGAGATTGCCATGAATAATTACTGTGCCATACTGTATAAATAAATTACATACTAATATCTGTAGTGTAAGCCACTGGCACAGGATGTTAATAAATTATGCTGTTCTTGAAGATTTCTGGTTTGCTAAGCTCAGTGGCAAAATCTCTCTGTTCAACATTAGTAACCACAATACTACAAGGTTTCCCTTTACAAATCTTTCATGGCTCTGACATGGAAGAGACAAGAGACTTCTTCCATATCTTCTCATTCTTCGTGCCTATGCTGAGATTTATTAGCAAGCTGCCAATTTGTGTGATGAGATGTAATGGAGACCTCTGTACTTTAGAAAAATAATCTCAGACCACAACATTTATACATAAGGCATTGAAAGAATATCAACAGCTGAGCTTTAAATGGTCATTGAGATACTGATAAGGTGTGATAAAATGTGTTGTTTTTCTAATAGACTACCTGGAACTGTTTCTTATAACACCTCTTTAATAGATCATGCAATGCTGGGAGAGCAATCAGGAGCAAAACATATGTGGCCATTACAAATGGATATCTAGGAAAGCCCAATCTATAACCATTGGGGAGATATATACATAATATGGTTCCATGTTATTATCAGACTTCACAAGTAGTGGGAGAGAATTCCATCAAAATATTCTGGAAAGGTGGCAAAGAAGAGATTAATACCCCTGCTTATTTAGGGTATTACAGGGATAGGAATAAAGAAGAAGGTGTTGTTGCAGTCCATAGGGTTGTAGGTAAAGATTTAAAACAGATATGAAAGCCTCACTCAAGCAGCAAGAAATAGGGAATGAATTTAAATAATATGGAAGCTTTCTTCTTAATAAGTGTATGTGGCAAAACTACCAAGTCACATTTGAGGTGTTAATTCAGGCAACATGCATGGCAATGTGGTGTAGAAAGAAGGCAGTGTATGGGAAATCTATGACAGCAGTGAAACAAGGGAAGCTAGCAGCTGCATGAAGTATCATTGTTAGAGCAGTTAGCTGGGAACATCCAAAACATAAAAGAACTACACCCCACCCCAAATTCTATAAATTGTCATGCAAGAGATTTGGGTGGCAAGGAAGACAAGGACAAAGATTCTGTTGTAGTAAAAGTGTCCTAAAAAATACTGACAGCAGTATGAAATGCAACAAATACTTGCTAATTTGATTTTGATCTTTTCTTGCTAATATTATATTCAGAGCTCTTTATAAATGTACATGAAGATAATATTCTTTCAAACAGCTTGCAAACTAAATGCATACATACAGCTATTACAGCAAATCATCTAACACAGCAGTCAGCTAAGAAAAGCTGAGCTTGGCGTGCCAGAAATAAAGGAAGAGCTTTTCCAGTAGTTCATCAGAATTACTAAATTCAGTCTTTAGTGATAAACAGAAACTGCACAGTTACGCAACATGGAAATTTAAGTCACTTGAATATAACTACTATTGATAGTCTGTGTAATAGCGTTAAGATCTTAAAGTCCTTGCATGCTTCAGAAGTTGTAATCTATTCAAATGCTGTTATGTTGCTTTAAGGGTTTTTGCATGTTCATTTCTTAATATGTATTTGTAGATTAAACCCATATTTCTAATTATCCATTACCCATGTGAAAAATTTACAAAAAATACTCCAAGGAAGAAGTAGTTTCAAGCTGATTGCTGTGTGCTGTGGTTGTCTTTAAAATATGGACTTT